GAAAACTGAAGAAAGGAGGAGTACTTTATCAGTTTGCTCATACAAGAAATGGGAGAGATGGTATGGACAGAAACAAGTGGAGATGGGGGGAAGGAAGCAGATGAGGAGGTGATGGGGGTGTCTGGGATGAAATTACTAAATCTGGACAAGCAAAGCTGCTTCATCAGGGAGATTGACAAAGTGGAGGAGGAGAGGAGGAACCAGTGACAGAAGTCACCCTCATTACAAAATTACTTCCAAAGACATTTTTGCTTTTAAAGAAGGAGCCACAGGCAGGATGCGGATGCTGTGGTGAAGGCAGGGTTGAGTGCTGGCAGTACATTCACCACTGTGAGAGGCAGGGCCTCATGCATAAAGGGTAGGGGTGAAATAATCAGCAGAACAAACAATAGTAGCAAAGAAACAAAGGAGAGGGTTTGAAAGCAGTCCAGAAGTCATCCATACTGCAGGTCACAGGTTGGCCAAGTACATGGCTGTTTCCAAACCTTTCTCTTTCTTTTTCTTTGCAGATAAAGCCACTCATCTCCCTCCCCATTCCTAAACTCTATATCCTTTCATATCTAGTCTGCATTGATTTTTGCATGCCTACTAAAATGCAAGGAAAGCCATAGTGTCAGTCACGTTTTTATACACATAGGCCCTAAATGACTCTTTGGGTCAGATCCTAAGCTAATGTAAATTATCATTGCTTCAATGAAATCACTGAAGCTATAAATACATACATTAGCTGTGGACGTGAATCTTTATGCTTCTGTACTTAGAGAGGAAAATTTCTATAAGGAGAATAGTGTCTAGTCTTCTGGTTTCTATTCAATATCTCTCCTTTTGCTTTCTACAGGAAGATGTTATTGCTTTTATTCCACACAGTTTCCTTTCTCTTTGTCCATCTGCTGATTTCACCAGTTTCATTGTTTCTCGTTGCTAGTTTTCTAGAATGTCCCTTCTCCCATATGCATATCCATGCTAATGGGGTCCTTTTTGTGCATCCCAGTTTAATGATCCCTCTATACACCACAAACTTCCAGAAATGAAAAATAAGAAACCCATTTATGCCTCTCATCCTGTCCTGATACACAACAAAGGCAGTGGGAACTGTGACTGTGAGCAAAGGCTGAAACTTCACATCCCTGTGGGTATTTAGAAAATATGTCCTTATTTTGAGCCATATGTCCTGTTTGTGTTACAGTTGTAACCACAGTCATACGCCTGACAAGCCTCTTAACACCAGCAAAGGAAGAAAACACTCTGGCTGAATTTCTTGTAACACATTTTACAAATAAATAGTACTGTTATTATCCTATTCAAGTCCAGCTAGGAAAATAAGCATCTCGGCACCCAATATTTCAAAGGAATGGGATTCTGTGTTTGTATATGCACGTGTGCTTTTACTGAAGCAAAACATGACAAAAGAACCACTTCTGATAACAGTGGCATGTAAGATGAATGTAAAATAGAATAGTCAAAAAAGTGTTTGATGGATGAGGTTAAGGAAGGAAGCCTCTGTAGCGATTCAGCTAATGAGCCTTCTTTTATTCATCTCATGTTACTGCTGCCAGGAATGTATCAGTTGTACGACACTTTTAGTGACCTTTCAGGCACAGCCAGGAAAAAATGCCTGCAGAAAGGGCAGCATTTTGCGTGCTTTAAGAAACTAGCTCAGAGTCCACAGGGAGCTTTTAGCACAGTCTGGACGCCGCAGGCTTTGCAGTGATGAGAAGCTGCCACCATCAAGAAAACTTGCTACAAAGAAATTACTGAAATCATTTTGTATTGGAGTTCACTTTCTACTACATACATTTACCTACCCTGCAAAGTTTATTGGTGTGTGTAAGAAGCCATTGTATGTCTACAACAAGGTCGCAGTAATATCCTCTGCCATACTGTCATTTGGTTACACATGTAGGAATTTCCTGCCAGTTGAACGCAGAAATGTCTCTGCAAGCTTGCCTTGTTTGTCACTTGACAATCTGGCTTGTTAACACTCTATGTTTAATCTGTGCAACAGGGCAAAGACACAATACATGCAGAGATATTCATCATGCATCTTTCTCTCATGCCCATGCAAACTCATTTTACTCAAAGAAATCTGTTTCTTAACATGTTGGTTTAGCTTTCTGAAAACAACCCTAAAATCTCCCTTAAGACCTTTTGCCTCGTGACTGCAAAACTGAGTATCCATGCCTGCAGCCTTCTAATAATGGTTTATTGGTTGCTTGAAGGGTCTTGGGAAGTACCCAAGAAATGCAAAGCCGGACAAATCCATAACAACAGTAAAGTGACATGTATTGACACCAGTGAGACGCTCAGTCCAACACAGGTATTTTCTGACTTGTGTTGTCAGAGGTCAAGAGTGAGAAAAAAAGGAAACCTCAGCAAAAGGACAAACCATAACTACAGCAAAGACATGACTGTTCTTTTTGCTGCAATCTTTTTATCTGAATAAGAGGTGTTCTATTTCCTCCCAGCCTAGCACTTCACTCAACAATATTCCTATTCTTATTCTTCATTCTCTGCCTATAAACTTAGTACACTTCCAAAGATCACACTGTAATAAAGTTATTCTGATGGTTACAGACAGTGAGTAAGTAGGAAGCAACAAATGGCATGTGTCTTGATTTTAGCAAAATTTTGACCCTATGAAAGGTTTGTAAGCAGGCCAGGGAAACACTGGCCAGATGCAGTCATCATAGGTTTTGTGCAGAATCGTTTAAAACTCTATTTGAAATTTAGTTATCAACCAGCTGGGATGACATTTCAGATGGGATCCCACTGGGACCTCAGCTAGAGAAATCATTCTCTTCATTATTTTTGCTAACAGCAAGGATGATAGAGGAGAGAACATTTGTAAAAATTTCGGATGAAACCAGCCTGGGAGGGGTACGAGCACTTGTGGAGATAGGATTAGAAGTCAAAATGATCTTGAGAAGTGGCTTGAAATCAAGAAGATGAAATTCAATACAGACAAGTGCAAAAGAACTCCTGTGGGGAAGAATCAATCAGGTGTCGTCAGATAAAATATGGACTACTGGGCTAGACTACAGTTAGTGTCAAAACATAAAAATAAAGATCTAGTTATTAAGTGTTTGTATGATACTGTTGAAAAAAGAAGGGGCAAAAAAACCAAACAACAAAAACCCCACCATGTTATTCCAGGTAATGTACAGAAGATCTACATGGCAGTTGTTCCAGTTAGTCCTGATCTGTGCACCACACTGTTAGAAAAACATAAGCAGACTGAAAAAGGATCTTCAGGCTTGGGAATCGAGAGGCTTGGAAAACATGGGCCAGGACAAAAATTTGAAAGAACTAGGTATGCTTAAATCTGGAAAAGATGGATAGCATGAAAATACTTTTTGAAAATGTTTAAAAGTAGTTATAAAGAAAAAAAAAAAGTCTCATTTGTCTTCATATCCATAGGGAGAAATGGCCAAAATGTAGAAAAGTAGTTAATTTGCAGGAAATTACATTTAAATTAGACATTAGGAAGTTAGGCACAGGGAAAGGCAACACAAAAAGATTATAGAACCTCCTTCATTAGAGATGTCAGGGATTAATTTAGTAAAACATCATTCTGGGATAGGACTATACGTAATGTTACCACAGAGCACAGAATCAGCTAAATTATTTCTGCAGGGGCCATTCTTGCCAGGGAAGAAGGTGGATGACAGGTTCAACATGTCTGTGGTTGCAATGGAGACATTCTGTACCAGTCCAGTCTAGTGTTTTGGTGGCAATTTTCTTGCAAAGTAAATGGTGGACAGAGGGGTACAAGAATTTGATTTTGTAACATGTCTGGAATGTGTGTGACTGTATTGATAAGTGTGGCACACATTGAGGCGCACCTTAGCATAAAATAACCTCATAAATGAGAGTTTTAAGGACTCCAACTGCTGTGAAAGTTCTCAAACCAAGGGTTATAAATTTACATTTTGTGATTTTTATGTGAATGTTACTGCATTTTAGATCCACAAGAAGCTATCCAATATCAAAGAAGCTTTTTTTTCTTTTTTTTTGCTCTTAATGTACACAGAGCCAGTCTGTCAGTAGCAGTGCCCAGACCCACAAAAAATGTACTTCCATACCTGAACTCTTTGGGCCTTTTCTATCAAAGTAAAGTCAAATTCACATCTGCTATGTAACAAACAGTATTTCAGGGATGAGAGCTGCCCACAAATAACCCCCAAAAGCCAATACTTGGGTCTCCTGGTGCAAAGGAAGCAAAGGATGCTCTTTTACCTGTGTGAAGAAAGTGTTATAGCAGAGAAACAGGGGTCTCAGGCTCAGATAAGATTGAATTGCCCTGGAAATTGTTTAAAGTAAATATGAGAAGACCATTGGGAACTGTCTGTCATGTGAATTAATAAATAACTCCCACCCTACAACCTTCCTGCAGACCCCCAGCGCCTTGAGAGAAATGCTGGTTTCCTTAGATCTGTGAAGCCTCATCTCTGAAGCTCAGATAAATTGTTCCAACCTCCTGTTCATGCATTTCAACCTAAATGTCAAAGCAGGGAATCAGAAAAACTTCTGTCTCTCGGACAGAGTCGGATCAATGTGCTCTCTCCTCTACATCACTGAACCACAGTATGACAGCAAGGCAGACACAGTAGTCACAGCCAGAAGCAATGCATTCATGCCGATAAATAAATGGGTTTCAGCATTTGTAATATCTGAATAGCATGTTGTTTTGTACTCCAGTGAGGTGGTCTACTTGAAAAATAGGGATGTGTGGCTATTTCTGATAGACAGATGGCTGTTATAAATCCCTCATTGTCTTTCTGTGATTTTAAAATTAATTTGATTTTAAAATTTAAAATGGGACTTTGCCCTTTTCTATCTTTTTTACCCTTTTTCTGCACCTCCACAATTAGCTGGTCTAATTTTAACAGATTATTAGGGGGTCCATCAAAAGTAATCTGTGTGCTGGGTGGTTCTTGAATGATAGTGCCTATCACTTCTGAAAAGGTGTTGCTAATGAAAGCAATTTTCCCCCCTTTCAGTTGATTTCATAGGTGGATTTGACTCTTACGGCTATCAAGGTCCACAGAAGACATCTCATTTACAGCTACAGCCCATGTATATGTAAGTACTTAACTTCTGAGATATTCTGCAGAGTGGCAGGCTGATATTAAAGGATCATTAAGCTGAAAGATGATGTGACTTAAAAATTCAGAACAGGCAGAAGCCTCTTTTCAGAGTCTGAATTCATGCTACATGTAAGCATGAACATTACTCTTCTGTTGAATTATAATGATTTCTTACAGCAGGATACAATGTGTCACAGTTGTTTAAATAACACCTGATTTTCCCCCATTTTCATTCAAGTACTTTCCACTCAAAGGCAATGAGAACTCGATTTAGTAAAAAAAGTAGTCAAATCTGACAAAACTTGGTTGCAAAACAGTGGATTTTATTAAATTTTATCAAAAGTTCAGCAACTTTCTAATTTAGTGGATGCATTTAGCATTTGTCTTACCAGCACACCTGTTCACTGAGGCACCTCTGTACCTCCAGTCTCGACATTAAAAAAAAAAAAAAAAAATAACAATATATGGCTTTTAAAACCAGTTTGAATAGAAGACAGTATTCTACCTAACCAGTGAGAGTGACAACTCCATTCACTGCCTAGAAGCCTGATCTTTTTGGGGATTAAATCGGTAGTCAAATCTCAGCACATATACACAACTGGAGTACATTCACACTAGAGCTAACACCCAACCATAGGCCAGTCTAGGAATAATCATCTCCAAATATTTTTTGTACTGATGCCAGCTACAATTCAGAACAGTCCTGACTGCCCAGATAAATCTTACCTCACTGCTGCAGCCTTTTGAGATGTTTTTTATTTACCATCACTGGCCTACATGGTAAAAGCACAGCACAGAACAGCTCAAAGGGGCAACATTTACTTTTTCCTTTGTTTCTCTTCTGAACAGTTCTTTTGAGGAAAAGAACTGAATACAGGCAAACGATATCCATCCCAACATACACTTCCATTCACCCTTGAATGTAATTTCATTTCTTCTGATTAGTGGAAGCAAGACTGCTAATGGATTAGTGGGTTTTTGCATGGAATTGGCATTTATTCCTTTATCAGTGGTACAATCAATTCTGTGGTAGTGCTTAGGATTGGGGCCTTTGGGAGCTTTGCTAGGAGCTTTTTAATAATCTCAAATTACAATAGTGCATATCTCCAATGCCATCTTAACTTCAGCTTCCCATCTGTCTGTGCTCAAGTAAAGATTTTTCACCTGCACTTTTGGCACAGTGCTGTGCATTTAGAAAATGTTATTTCCTTCCTAGTATTATGTGTGGCTCATAGGTACTTAGAACAATTCTAACCCTATTTCTTTCTGAGTATACCATACCGTGTCATCAACATATGGAGCCCTCTAGCTGAGATATTATCCTATTCTCTTTATGCTCTCAGTGTTTCTTCCAGAACAGCAGATTGCATTTACTGAGCATCTTCATACTGACTGGAAAGAAAGCCAAATCTGTGGAAAAAAAGAAGGCAATATTTTTAAGCTTGTAGCTGAGATGAAGATTAATCCATGTAAACTGTGTTCCACCTTATTTCAATGCTGCATTCTCACTGGACTATAGGTAATTTCGCTGTCTTAACTGAGAGACAGAAATGAGTATGTAAGCTGATGTTTTGTCCAATCAACCCACAAAAGCATTGCCATGTCTCAGCCACAGTCAGAGAAAGACACTTCGTGTTTCCCTCTGACTGTATAGTGTGTGACAAGGTTCTCTAGAATTGCTACAGTCTGTCCTTAAGAGGATTTTACAGCATTTAGTAATACCTTTCTGTTATTTACAGCTGAGGTGCACCAGGAACACACGCATATGTATTCACACTGCAGTTACTCTGTAAATGTAGGCAGACCATTAGGTAGCAGAGTGACATATTCGAATGTCAAATTAATCAAGCCGTGGTTTGATTTGCTTGTAGCACTGTTTACAGCAATATTACGTACTGGAAATCAAAACACACTGATATCATAACAGCAGGCCATACTCAAAGTTTGAAAGCTTTATATGTTGGGAGGAAGGGTTTGGTTCCCTACGGATCAAAGAATGTCAGTTTTAGCCTCCATATTAGTCAAGGGGAAAAAAAAAAATACAGGACTTTACATTACCCTCTGGCCAATGTCACCTGCACTTCACAATGCTCAGCATCTCTAGGGGATGAGTAAAAGATACGAATCATTTGACAGAGAAAGGCAGAGGCAAGGCAAGACAAGGCAAGGCAAGAAGAAAGGCAAGGCAAGAAGAAAGGCAAGGCAAGGCAAGGCGGCAAGGCAAGGCAAGGTGGCAAGGCAAGGCGGCAAGGCAAGGCAAGGAAAGGCAAGGCAAGGAAAGGAAAGGAAAGGCAAGGAAAGGAAAGGCAAGGCAAGGAAAAGCAAGGAAAGGCAAGGCAAGGAAAGGCAAGGAAAGGCAAGGCAAGGAAAGGCAAGGAAAGGCAAGGCAAGGAAAGGCAAGGCAAGGAGAGGCAAGGAAAAGAAAGGCAAGGAAAGGCAAGGCAAGGCAAGGAAAGGCAAGGCAAGGAGAGGCAAGGAAAGGCAAGGCAAGGCAAGGCAAGGCAAGGAAAGGCAAGGCAAGGCAATGAAAGGCAAGGAAAGGCAAGGCAAGGCAAGGAAAGGAAAGGCCTTCTGCTTTATGGAGTCCATTGCCATACTCTCACCACCATCCAAGGTATAATCGTATCCATTCAGGACGCAACTATACCCATACACATCCATATAGCTGTATTCATATAACTATTTCCACAACTGCTACAAAATGTCTTTGTATCCATAGGCAGTGGACGATGTATTAAGCATCATCCTGTCTAATTCCTGCAAAATATCAAGAAAATATAAAGATAGCTAATTGCCACCTCTGCATCCTCTAGTATTCAGGCTCTCATTGGGTGAACTCATGTGGAGCTCTGGGTGTATGAGAGAAATAGGAGATAGTTGCCTTGGAATCGTCTGGTTACTTAAGTATTTCCAAAAGCACAATAGCACCTCTTTTTGTCATCTATGGTGCGGTAGTACCTATAGGTGTGCTAGGCATGCTACAAAAGTGGAGGAGAACATATGGCCTCATCTTTGAAGAGCTTGCCAAAACAATATCAGCTTCTAATAGTCGAACAGATTCTGACAAAATGCAAATTTCAACTTGTATTTCAGTAATAAGCACAGAGAACCCCCCATATATTTACCAGATCAACTCATATACAGAAATAGTACAAACCTTAAAGACTTACAGAGTTGTGTGGTAGCTCTCAGTCATCATCCACATACTGTTTGCTGAAGTGAATTGATTTAGTGGATTGCGATGACAGAATTTCGTCAACACAAACTTTTATTTCAACTCAAGCCAGACAGATTTACATGCAAGTGATTTAAATCAATTTTAACTGTTTTATACATGCACCATTTAATTATTACCCTGAAGGAATGCTGGGTTTAGTAATTGCTATCTGTTAAGACACACTGTTTTGCAACCAGTTTCCTCCCGTGTGCTAAAGTTAGCACTTCATTTTGTTAATTTGGAAGTTATCTGAACCTACACGAAGTTACACGTGCAATTAAATAATTATACTGATTTATTCAGGCTCCTCGTGTTTACATTTTTATTGTGTCAGAACTTTTTTAACTAAAGCATTATTACTTTTTATTTGTGATATCAATCAAGCTCTACCTACAAGAACATTCAAACTCATTTCAGAAGCACACAGTACATTTGTGTGGAATTTCATCAGTTATGCAAAACTACCATAAATGAACAGGATACTTAAGGAAAAAAAATATTGATTTATGAAAAGGAAGCATTATCTGTAGATAGTGAATTGAGATGACTATCACTGGCTACTGTTTCCTTAAATAGTGTAGAATTATTAGATTCAGGCTCACTTTGTTTCTTTTCTCTATATTTTAGGCTTTGAATTCCAGCCACAACTCTCCTTATCATCTCTCCCAATTTCACATTTAATTTAAATCAGCTTATTTTTTAAAAAGAAAAATATATTCAATTTAAATTTATGTTTTAAATAAAACACCAGTGTTTTGGGGGAGAATTCTTATCATGACATTTATCTACCTGCTATAAATGGCTTTTTTTATTATTTAAGTGCCAACAGCATGCTCTATGCTGTACAAGCCAAGAAGCCTAGACAGTCCCTGCAAAATGAATACGCTTTTTAAACAGAATGGGACAGAACCGGTCCTCATGTACCTCCTTGCAGTGTGGCCACAGCTGATGTCCTAAAATGCAGCTTCCTGGCATTCTGTGCTGGAGGTGCCAGTGCTCATTTCCAGACCATGGGACAACAACACAATAAGATGGTGGAAATCAATTGTCAAGAGAAAATTCTGCTCTTGGGAGGTGATCAAGGAAGGTGACTAAACACGGCACTGATTCTGACGCACATGAAAAAACACAGTTATGGTTGTGGAACAAGGCTGCACTGCATGATCACTGCTCTAAAAACACGAGGAAGGAGGGAGGGGAGAGAGAGTTTTCTTTACGTTTTTCACAATAAACTTGTTTGCTCAAGAAAAGAAGAAGTGAAGCAAAAAAAAAGCATGCATGTCTGATGCTGATGCCTAATGCACTGGAGAAATTGCTCAAAAGCAGTTCAGCCCTGAAGTGAAGCTTGCTTTCCTCATATTCTGTGAAGTTTGAGAATTTTTGCATTTTATATATATATATATATAAACGCACATACTGTATATGCATAGAAACACAAACACCTGTATGCACTCGGACCCCTTTATATATATGTCTATATATGTATATATGTATGCCCACTTATGTGTATTCTGTTACACAGGACTATTGGTAGGCATTGCTTTTCACCAGAAGGCATTTACAACAGTTTCTAGCTAATAGGATCCTACCTTTCACCGAATGTTAGGGGGAATTTGAGTCAATAACTCAGGGACAGAAGGGTGTAGGAGATGTTAATGTATTTGCCTTACTACCTGGTCCCATATTTTCTCTCTGTTGCATTTACACCTACATTATGCTGGCCATGGTCTCCTAGCCTAAAGCTGTTGGTATTTGTCTAGATAATTTCTCATACTGAAGGTATCTACTTTACCTTTTGCTTGAAGTATAGGTGAAACATAAGCAAGACACAAAGACCAGTGCCTAGAGTATAACTACCGTGACACTCAGCAGGTTCATGCAGTACAAATGTGTTATTATCTCCTCATGTTTGTGGGATTCAGACATTACCGGCAACATTTCTTTTAAATATACTACCAGCTAAGACTTGTCAAGCAACCAACATCATTGTGTCTGTTTTAGACTGAAAGCTAGAGTTACAAAACACAGGTTTGGGACAGGACTCTTCAGGTGTACAGGGCTGTGACACTCGCACATGCACTCTGCTTTGCGAGTGAGCCTTGGGTGACTTTCCCAGGTACCTTCGATTCAGCCCTTCTGTCCTCATACTGCGGTCACTTCTTGCTTTTACAAAGACAGCTACATTTCTGATGGATTATTATAGGTCAGGTCGTCTTCCAGTTGACACTTGGATATGTAGTTAAGACTATAATTAAATATCACTCCTGCCTAGAATGGTTTAGAAAACCTGTGCTGACTTCTCCAACAATTTTCCAGAGAGAGCCAAGCGATCACCTGAGCAAACACCTTGCCTTTCTGTCCTCTTCATCCCATGTACAGCTGAACTGTTACTGGTTGGTGGACTACACTTGCTTGGAAAAAGGCACCAGAGCAGCAGGTATACGGTGGATTATACATATCTTTCTTTTTCTGTCTTTCCTCTAGGTCAAAGTAAACATGGGGACTACTCAACATAGGCTGGAGGACTTGTCAAAGAAACTTACAGAATGGCCCCCTGGTTCTTCAAAGAGCAAAAAAAAATCCAGTTTTTATGCTAAAAAAAAAACCCCAAACCCAAAACCAAAACAACAAAAAGCTGATTGAACAGTGAGACAAAAAGCAACAGACACCTTCAGCCCTTCTTTCTAACAGGTACTAAGGGAGATGCCCTGGACCCCCACCTTGGACCTCCTGCCTCCCAGCACCAGAGGGCCCAAGCAGAGGCGTTGGTGTCATCTTCTGCCTCTTCTCTACCCTGGCCACTGCCAGCGCGGCCCATCTGGACTAAGACATTAACCCAGCGAATTTGGTGCTTTTGGAGCCCCCTCTGCACTCCTGGCCGTCTCGAGTCTCCTTAGCCAACACAACACTAAAAATACCAGGATGACCTTGCAGCAGAAGTCAATAGACAGCGCGTTGTTTGCCCTGAAGGCTGTACGGTTCATACTTGCCTTAACCCAACTGCGTTGCACATCAGAGAAACTCAGTGCAAGCTTTCTGAAGTAACGTCCTTTAGGCTCAACATGCTGCTGTTAATTCTGAACGATTTCTAAGTCAGTGGTTTTCTTTTGTTTGGTTTTGTTTTGTTTTCATGTCAGGGAATAAGGCTCTGTTGCTCCACAGCTCCAGAGCAACCGAGTAGAAAACTGCCAGCTGTCTGAGAAGTGCTTTACTTTTGAGGCTCCACAGTGGTCAAGAAACAGTTTGTAATGGTTAAAAAAAAAAAAAAAGAAAAAAAAAAAAAGAAATGAGACATTTTGGGGGTTGGGGTGGGGAAAGGGGTAACATAAACTAATAATAATGGAATCTACTGGAAATAAGCAGCAGAAACAGTGCTTCTTAATCCCGCTGTTTTTATTTATGACACTGTAGGTGCTTTTATAGCTATCTCTAAATGTCTTTTACTAACTACGGAGACATCTGCAGATTTCTATCAACAAAGGCCAACTGAATAAGTACTAGCTACGTTTACTCTTTTATATCTAATTTCAACTGAAAATTCTCTGTAAGTGAGTTTTTTTTCTAATTGCACCATAAGGGATCCATATATTTTATTTTTTTGGTTTCAGTTGGGGAGGGTGGGGAGGGACTAGTTGAGTTGAAGAAATATTGGAGACCTTTTTGTGGTATATATGGGGGATCTGTTGTGTGTTAGAACGTGTATTTTATCTTCTTGTATTATTGTGGCTGAAAAAAAAACTGTGCTGTTACGTAGTTGGCAACAAGATGCCTTTGGGAATTTTGCTAGTAGGTCAATGTGTATATGAAATACTCTGAACTCCTAGGAACATATGTTTTGTTCTACATCTGATCTGTATTTTCAAGCACTTAGGTGGCTTTCATTAGGAAAACCCCAATATTTTGCTTTTCAGAAACTTGGATTGTCATTGTTTCTTTGCTCAGACCTTGCATAGGCAAACGCACGCACCTACCCCACCTGAGGTGAACGTGCAGCTTTTGAGGGCAAGAGGGAAGGTCAGCGCTTGGAAAGGCTTGAGCTGCCCTTGAGCAACTCCCTTTTCCTTGCTGGCCAAACCCGTGCACCTGCACAGCTCCCGAGCTCCCACAGCCTGTGCGCTCATGCCACTCATCCATCCTGTACAAACCAGTGCCCTTTGCTGTGTCTGCATGGATGTACAGTGTCACAAACAACAACTCTGGACAATGACAGAGGAACAGGCATTCACCAGTGAAAACAAGATACAGGACATGTTCAGGAAGTATACTTGCATTTATTCAGTGAGATTTTTTTTTATATATATATATATATAATC